ATCTTGCAGATAGTGTCTCATTTATTTCTCCTCTGTGTTTGAAGCGTCCAGCACATCCTGGCTGATCAAACAGCTTTACTGGCCAAAGCAGAAGCTTTAAAAAGAATACAGGAATTGGAGGAATTACAGCAAAGACATAGATTGGAAGCTGATAAAATGCAACAACAAAAGGAACAGGTGGAAATAGGGGCACAAATAGCTGCTGCTGCTGCAGCGCCTCCCTGTGAGGGAAGGCAGCGGCGCTGGAAGAAAATCCCTATAAGTTCTGATGGGATTAATTTATCATCAGCAAAGGACTTAAAGAGCTAAAGTTGACTGAATTTAACCCACAAGAGAAGCTAATGTCTAATGTCAATAAATGTGACACCTTGCAGACCTTATCTGGCCCCCAATGTCTGCACCAGATGGAAGATCTGAGGTTTTCTGTAGTAAACTCAGTTGGACAGGATCAGGTGCAATACCAAAAATAGCCAGGAGATGTCACTGCTACATCAGGTTCAAAGTTGGATGGATTACTTTCTGTAAAGCCAAATATTGTTCCTGTAAAATTCCACTGCTTTTCAAACAGAAGTAAAGAACGATGAACAAAAACATTTTAACAGTTCATCAGATCCAACTGATGATATCATTTCTTCTATTATACAAAAACAGAATGAAATTACATCAATGCTTGAAATCAATGAAATACGTTTTTAAAGGCAACCCCTTGCAGTGTATGTCTTTTTTAAGAGCTTTTGAACATTATGTGGAAGAGAAGACAAACAGTTATCAGGACTGTTTATACCTTTTAGAGCAATAGACCAGAGGAAAACCAAAAGAGCTGTGAGGAGCTGCATGCATACGGCGCCACAGCAAACAGCAAAGCAACTTCTAATTGAGCATTTTGGAAGCGAACATCCTATTGCTTCTGCATATATGGACTCAGTGTTTGCTTGGACAGTTATAAAATCTGAAGATGTTGAAGCTTTGCAGGAATAGGCTTTGTTTTTGCGTAGATGCTGAAATGTCAGAAATACAGTTTGTGGAGGAGTTGATTATTCCATCCAGGGAACAGGACAACACCAAAGGTTAAACGAAAAGGCAGCAACTTTGTAACATTTCAGCCCCTGATAGTCATTTTCTGTGCCATCAATTCATAAGCGGCAACTAACCTCCAATAGCCCTCTCCTAGAAACCATCTTTACTGTGAGAAGCCACATTCTATATCAAAGCTCCCCGAACTGCAAAGGATTTCTGATAAGGAGAAAATAGGATTCCTAAAAGGAAATGGAGAATCTTTTGAGTGCTTAGGGATAGGCCACATAAGTAAGGAGTGTAGGAGTCGTCTCACCTGCGACAAATGGCATTTAAAGCATCCCACCCTTCTGCATTTTGACAGGAAGGAACCAGCAATAAGCATCGGTGCTTCACCAGGCTGGTGTTGGTGCTGTATCTGGAAACCATGACTGTACCTGCTCCATTGTTCCAGTCAACATGTAGTCTAAAGGGAGATAATGTGTTGCAGACCTTACAGCCACTTTCATTACAGGCACGTTTCTGTTGGGAGGAGTTGGTTGAATCATGAGGAACCAAGCAGGAAGTGACATCATCAGAGCAGAGCTCTCTAACCCTGAGATCCCACATCCTCCGTCACCAGCGTTCCTTGGTGGGATTTAGATTTTGAGGATTTTTGAGGATTACAAAGCAGAAAAGAAGGCAGTCCTCCCACATTGATAATGAAAGGAAATTATTCGCTCCATTCTTTTATTCCTCTTTTCTCATCAGCTATCTTCATTTTTCCCTTCGGGAAATGGATATGGGACAGTTCTTACCTAAGGCTGCATGATGAAAGAGGAAATAAGCACCGGCGTTCATGCTATGAAAAGCTAGAGTGGCTCCATTAAAACAGATAAGTTCCTCACCTTGAACTCATTGCTGCTGTTCTGACTGACCAGGTGGACGTTGAAGAAGGAGTTCTCTATCCAGATCATTCTTTTGGACAGACAGACAGTTCTAAGATAGATAAATGATAACACCAAACCATTTCACAGCTCTGTTGCACATAGAGTGGCTGCGATAAGAGAATCTACAGACATATTTCAGTGGAAGTACGTCAACTCTAAGACAAAAAGGTTTACTGAGAGGGTGGTAGGCTTAGTTCGTTCAGCCTTATCTCTGGAACAGAAACTTCCTGTTATCCTTTATGAAGGCCAGCATGGATCCAAACTTATACTGCAAGATCAACATCCACAGACGGGCCATGCAAGAATAAATCATATGCTTTCAGCCCTCAGAGACAGATATTGGATTACCTAACCCTAACCCAGTGCCAACTTGGCCTGCAAAAATATATTGTCCAATTGAATGTGTACAGACGCTACAGAGGACAACCAGCCGAGCAGAAATGGCAGATATGCCACCAGAACCAGTCTGTCCAGATTTACCACTAAAGTAGGTGTAGATTATTTTGGCCCATTTAGGGTCAAGAGAGGACACGTACTGGTTAAGAGATACGGTGTTATTTTTACATGCATGGCCATTTGAGCTGAACATCTGGAGGTGACTCATTCATTAACATCTGACTCCAGCATTGATGCCATCAGATGTTTTGTGTTCCAAAGAGGAACAGTCTGTCAAATACGGCCTTCAGTGGTGTCAATTGTGTTTTATTTCTATTTTTATTTTATGCTATGGTTCATTATATATATATATTTTATATTTTATTATGCACCGTGGGGTTGAGAGGACTGAAATTTCATCTGTGTTGTATGTTTACCATGTAGCACAATTGACAATAAAGTTGAGTTGGTGCAGAGCATGAAGTGAGGGAGGCTTCGGCAGCCATAGATCCACCGAAAAATCCACCAAACTCCACTGGCAAAGGAGATAGATTGGATTTTTAACACACCTGCCGCATCTCATCATGGAGGAGTGTCCAGGTAAGGGCAGCGGAGGAAGGGTGTGGGGAGGTCACATGGTTTTTACTGCTCTGTTAAATACTGGTTTGCTCCATTATATCCACATATTGATCAAAATGACCAGCGTCCATAGAAAGCAGTGGATGAGGTGTGGTCTACTCTTAGACCGGTGTTCTGTCGGACCAGCATACGCCGTCAGACCAGCATACGCAGTCAGACCAGCATACACCGTCAGATCAGCATACACCGTCAGATCAGCATACGGCGTCAGATCAGCATACGCCGTCAGACCAGCATACGCAGTCAGACCAGCATACGCAGTCAGACCAGCATACGCCGTCAGACCAGCATACGCAGTCAGACCAGCATACACCGTCAGACCAGCATACGCAGTCAGACCAGCATACACCGTCAGATCAGCATACGCCGTCAGACCAGCATACACCGTCAGATCAGCATACGCCGTCAGATCAGCATACGCCGTCAGACCAGCATACGCAGTCAGACCAGCATACGCAGTCAGACCAGCATACGCCGTCAGACCAGCATACGCAGTCAGACCAGCATACACCGTCAGACCAGCATACGCAGTCAGACCAGCATACGCCGTCAGATCAGCATACGCCGTCAGACCAGCATACGCCGTCAGACCAGCATACGCAGTCAGATCAGCATACGCCGTCAGACCAGCATTAGCCGTCAGACCAGCATACGCCGTCAGACCAGCATACGCCGTCAGACCAGCATACGCAGTCAGACCAGCATACACCGTCAGATCAGCATACGCCGTCAGACCAGCATACGCAGTCAGACCAGCATACACCGTCAGACCAGCATACGCAGTCAGACCAGCATACGCCGTCAGATCAGCATATGCAGTCAGATCAGCATACGCCGTCAGACCAGCATACGCAGTCAGACCAGCATACACCGTCAGACCAGCATACGCAGTCAGACCAGCATACACCGTCAGATCAGCATACGCAGTCAGACCAGCATACGCCGTCAGATCAGCATATGCAGTCAGATCAGCATATGCAGTCAGATCAGCATACGCCGTCAGACCAGCATACGCCGTCAGACCAGCATACGCCGTCAGACCAGCATGCAGTCAGACCAGCATACGCCGTCAGACCAGCATACGCAGTCAGACCAGCATACACCGTCAGACCAGCATACGCAGTCAGACCAGCATACGCCGTCAGATCAGCATATGCAGTCAGATCAGCATACGCCGTCAGACCAGCATACGCAGTCAGACCAGCATACACCGTCAGACCAGCATACGCAGTCAGACCAGCATACACCGTCAGATCAGCATACGCAGTCAGACCAGCATACGCCGTCAGATCAGCATATGCAGTCAGATCAGCATACGCCGTCAGACCAGCATACGCAGTCAGATCAGCATACGCCGTCAGATCAGCCTACGGCGTCAGACCAGCATACGCAGTCAGATCAGCATACGCCGTCAGACCAGCATACGCAGTCAGACCAGCATACGCCGTCAGACCAGCATGCAGTCAGACCAGCATACGCCGTCAGACCAGCATACGCAGTCAGACCAGCATACACCGTCAGATCAGCATACGCCGTCAGACCAGCATACGCCGTCAGATCAGCATACGCCGTCAGATCAGCATACGCCGTCAGACCAGCATACCTATAGACTGTTTCTGACATTTTGAACTGGAAAAGCTTCCTGGAGGGAAACCAAACGTCTTCAAACTTGGAAACAAAGTCCAGTGGATTGTTGTTGTTTTTTTTTTTATCCCTTCAGTCTTGTAGGAAAAAAAGACTTTAAACTACATCAACAGGCGCGTTTCACTTTGGTCTTGAACAAGACAAACTATTTAAGTTGAGATCGCAATCCGCTTTAAAAACACCAAACATCTCTATTAATCTAAAAACACGTGTCAGTTTAAAATCTATATTAAGGTCATGAATGTCTGTAAATGATGATCTTTTATTGTTTTATCTAAATCTCCTTAATGTGACTCAGAACATCAAATGTTGTTAAAATCCACAGCTTAATAACATCCTCCGTGTTTCTGCGTGGCGCTGTGGAAATGCAGTGTTTCAGGGGGAGGTCCTCCTGCAGCCTGTCCGCCAGAAGAAGAAGGAGGAACAGAAGAAGAAGAAGGACCGGGCGGAAGTGACGTCAGCCGGGATGAAAACATGGTTGAAGAGAGTGAAATCCGCGTGGTTCATCAGGGAGGCAGTAAAATCACCTTCAGGAAGCCGCTGATCAGCTCCGACAGCAGGTCAGACTCTGTGTCCCTCACGATGACGTCATTTTATCCGCAGAGCAGCGGGAATGTTAGCAGCTAATGCTAATGCTACACGGCGGCTCTTTGGTTCCTCCAGGTTCCTGCTCTGCGCCTCCGGCCACCATGTGAAGGTGTTCAGCATCCTGACCGAGGAGTGTGTCCAGGAGCTGCGGGGACACACCGACCTGGTTACCGGGCTGCTGCCCCGGGCCTCCAACCATCTGCAGGTGACCGCTGCTCCTCCTCCTCCTGCTCCTCCTCATCAGACGGCTGATCAAAGCTAAGCCAAAATTAACTAAACTCTTCATCGGAGCTGAGATTAACCAGGATTAGCTTCAATCTGAAGCTCAGATTAGGATTTAATCTCCTATCAGACCAAAGGTTTCTGATGGAGAATCTAGGCTGAATGCATGTCTACATTAGAAGCTCTATTCAGTCTATTTCTGCAGCTTCAAATCACAACATATCATCTTATAGATCTAGATGCATCAGATCATCCAGTCAGATTAAAGGTTGAAAGCTGACTGAACACCTGCATGTTCCCTGAGACTAAGAAGCCATCAGCTGAAGGCAGATAAAGTTCTGATGATGCGCTGATATTTCTCAGCCGCCGTTATTTTATTCTGAAGAATGTGGAAAATAATCCAGAGGCTTCATTCTTCTAAATCGTCTCCAATCCTGTGAAGCAGCAGCTCGTCTCTTCCTGAAGGTTCAATCCGTGTGATGCTGAGCGTCTCTATGTGTTGCAGATCTACTCCTGCTCAGTAGATGGCACCGTCAGACTGTGGGACTTCACAGATGGCGTTCTCATCAAGGTCAGAAATCCCTTTCATCTGCTTTGACCTCCGTTTGATGCGGCGCTCTGACCACCATGTGCTTCCTCCTCAGACCTTCGCCGTCGGATATCCCATCTACTCCTTCTACGGCTCCTCCACCCACCAGGAGGTGCTCTTCATCGTCACGCCCTCACAGAGGAAACGCTCATCAGGTGGGTGTCTGTGTCTCCCGGGTGACGGCCATGATGCTGCAATCGGTTTGATTTCTCTGCTTCTGATCTTCATCCCTCCAAGCATCAAAACCAGCGATCAGACGTCTACTCTGCTCCTTTTGCGTCTTTCAGTCCACTTCCTAAATGTCCCTCCCTGCTTAGCGTCGGCGGGCGCCCCTCCCTCACGCCCGAGGCCGTCCCCTCCTTCAGAACCGGTGAAGGACGATTAGCTGCGGTTGGTCTAATGTCCGTCTTTCTGTCCGTCTTCAGATGCGTTCCAGCTGCTTGCCATCCGTCTCCCGCAGCGCTCTGACCAGCTGGTGGACGCCACCGATGTCTCTGTGGTTCTGGAGGATGTCGGCTCCAACCCTGCAGCCGTGTCCTTCGGTAGAGAGGTAAGCGTGTCCCTGCTGTGTCCTCTCTCGTCTCCAGCCTCCTTCATGTCTCATCAGCTGTCCTTTCCTCACAGGGAGAATATGTGGCCTCAGCTAAAGATCTCCAGCTGGAGATCTTCTTCTTCAAGAAGGAAAAGTCCTACAGGTTGATCCAGGCAGCAGCAGGTCGCTTCCCTGCAGAGACCTTCATGTTTGCTAACTGCTCTGCTTTTCTGGTGGACAGGTTCTCTCTGAAGGAGGACAACAAGAAAGGAGGCAGGAACACCTTCACCTGCGTGGCCTGCCACCCCAAAGACGACTGCGTGGCTACGGGACACGAGGACGGGAAAATCCGGCTGTGGTGAGTCCAGAGGAACCCAGTCCAGAGGAACCCAGTCCAGAGGAACCCAGTCCAGAGGAACCCAGTCCAGAGGAACCCAGTCCAGAGGAACCCAGTCCAGAGGAACCACGGTTCCTTCCTTCCTTCCCTCTAGTGGAACCGTGGTTCCCTCTAGTGGAACCGTGGTTCCCTCTAGTGGAACCACGGTTCCCTCTAGTGGAACCGTGGTTCCCTCTAGTGGAACCACGGTTCCCTCTAGTGGAACCGTGGTTCCCTCTAGTGGAACCACGGTTCCCTCTAGAACCACGGTTCCCTCTAGTGGAACCACGGTTCCTTCTAGAGGAGCCACGGTTCCCTCTAGTGGAACCACGGTTCCCTCTAGAACCACGGTTCCCTCTAGTGGAACCACGGTTCCTTCTAGTGGAACCACGGTTCCCTCTAGTGGAACCGTGGTTCCCTCTAGTGGAACCGTGGTTCCCTCTAGTGGAACCGTGGTTCCCTCTAGTGGAACCGTGGTTCCCTCTAGTGGAACCGCGGTTCCCTCTAGTGGAACCGCGGTTCCCTCTAGTGGAACCACGGTTCCCTCTAGTGGAACCACGGTTCCTTCTAGAGGAGCCACGGTTCCCTCTAGTGGAACCACGGTTCCTTCTAGAGGAACCACTGTTCCCTCTAGTGGAACCACGGTTCCCTCTAGAACCACGGTTCCCTCTAGTGGAACCACGGTTCCTTCTAGTAGAACCGCGGTTCCCTCTAGTGGAACCACGGTTCCCTCTAGTGGAACCTCGGTTCCCTCTAGTGGAACCACGGTTCCCTCTAGAACCACGGTTCCCTCTAGTGGAACCACGGTTCCTTCTAGAGGAACCACGGTTCCCTCTAGTGGAACCACGGTTCCCTCTAGAACCACGGTTCCCTCTAGTGGAACCACGGTTCCTTCTAGTAGAACCGCGGTTCCCTCTAGTGGAACCACGGTTCCCTCTAGTGGAACCACGGTTCCCTTGGGAACCACGGTTCCCTCTAGAGGAACCACGGTTCCCTCTAGAGGAACCACGGTTCCTTCTAGTGGAACCACGGTTCCCTCTAGTGGAACCGCGGTTCCCTCGGTTCCCTCTAGTGGAACCTCGGTTCCCTCTAGTGGAACCTCGGTTCCTTCTAGTGGAACCACGGTTCCTCTAGAAGGAACCGTGGTTCCACTAGAGGGAACCGTGGTTCCTTCTAGAGGAACCACGGTTCCCTCTAGTGGAACCACGGTTCCTTCTAGAGGAACCGTGGTTCCCTCTAGTGGAACCACGGTTCCCTCTAGAACCACGGTTCCCTCTAGTGGAACCGCGGTTCCTTCTAGTAGAACCGCGGTTCCCTCTAGTGGAACCACGGTTCCTTCTAGAGGAACCACGGTTCCCTCTAGTGGAACCACGGTTCCCTCTAGTGGAACCACGGTTCCCTCTAGTGGAACCACGGTTCCCTTGGGAACCACGGTTCCCTTGGGAACCACGGTTCCTTCTAGAGGAACCACGGTTCCCTCTAGAGGAACCACGGTTCCTTCTAGTGGAACCACGGTTCCCTCGGTTCCCTCTAGTGGAACCACGGTTCCCTCTAGTGGAACCACGGTTCCCTTGGGAACCACGGTTCCCTTGGGAACCACGGTTCCCTCTAGAGGAACCACGGTTCCCTCTAGAGGAACCACGGTTCCTTCTAGTGGAACCACGGTTCCCTCGGTTCCCTCTAGAGGAACCACGGTTCCCTCTAGTGGAACCACGGTTCCCTCTAGTGGAACCACGGTTCCCTCTAGTGGAACCACGGTTCCCTTGGGAACCACGGTTCCCTCTAGAGGAACCACGGTTCCCTCTAGAGGAACCACGGTTCCTTCTAGTGGAACCACGGTTCCCTCTAGTGGAACCGCGGTTCCCTCGGTTCCCTCTAGTGGAACCACGGTTCCCTCTGGTGGAACCGCGGTTCCCTCTGGTGGAACCGCGGTTCCCTCTGGTGGAACCGCGGTTCCCTCTGGTGGAACCGCGGTTCCCTTGGTTCCCTCTAGTGGAACAGCGGTTCCCTCGGTTCCCTCTAGTGGAACCACGGTTCCCTGTAGTGGAACCACGGTTCCCTCTAGTGGAACCACGGTTCCCTCTAGTGGAACCGCGGTTCCCTCTAGTGGAACCGCGGTTCCCTCTAGTGGAACCGCGGTTCCCTCTAGTGGAACCGCGGTTCCCTCGGTTCCCTCTAGTGGAACCGCGGTTCCCTCTGGTGGAACCACGGTTCCCTCTGGTGGAACCGCGGTTCCCTCTGGTGGAACCGCGGTTCCCTTGGTTCCCTCTAGTGGAACCACGGTTCCCTCTAGTGGAACCACGGTTCCCTGTAGTGGAACCACGGTTCCCTCTAGTGGAACCACGGTTCCCTCTAGTGGAACCGCGGTTCCCTCGGTTCCCTCTAGTGGAACCGCGGTTCCCTCTAGTGGAACCGCGGTTCCCTCTGGTGGAACCACGGTTCCCTCTGGTGGAACCGTGGTTCCACTAGAGGGAACAGAGGGAACCGCGGTTCCCTCTAGTGGAACCGCGGTTCCCTCTGGTGGAACCACGGTTCCCTCTGGTGGAACCGCGGTTCCCTCTGGTGGAACCGCGGTTCCCTCGGTTCCCTCTAGTGGAACCACGGTTCCCTCTAGTGGAACCACGGTTCCCTGTAGTGGAACCACGGTTCCCTCTAGTGGAACCACGGTTCCCTCTAGTGGAACCGCGGTTCCCTCGGTTCCCTCTAGTGGAACCGCGGTTCCCTCTAGTGGAACCGCGGTTCCCTCTAGTGGAACCGCGGTTCCCTCTAGTGGAACCGCGGTTCCCTCTAGTGGAACCGAGGTTCCCTCGGTTCCCTCTAGTGGAACCGCGGTTCCCTCGGTTCCCTCTAGTGGAACCACGGTTCCCTGTAGTGGAACCTCATCAGTCAGCAGAATGTTCCTCTGCTTCCCTCCAGGAGAAACTTCAACCACAGAAAGGAGTACACCTACTCCACCCTGCACTGGCACCACAGCGCCGTCAGCTCGCTGTGCTTCACCCCCGAAGGTAAGGCGGCCCCGCCTCTGGCCCCGCCTTTCCAGCTTTCCAAGCATCTGAGCCGCTGCTCTTCATTCAGGCACCAACCTGCTGAGCGGAGGCGTGGAGTCGGTTCTGGTCCAGTGGAGATACAAGCAGGAGAGCCAGCTGGACTACCTGCCGCGTCTCGGAGCCGCCATCACGCACATCGCCGTCTCACCAGACGGGACGCTGTTTTCTACATCCCACAGCGACAACAGTAAGGAGACGGAGCGCCGACCCGCTCGGGTTCCACCCAATAAATAGAAAAATCTGGTGGGAACCTTTGGCAGGTTCTGGGGGAACATTTGATGCCTGAAGGTCCCTGACCATGACGCCACAGCGGGGGGGGGTTCAGGTACCGTTTGGGTTTCTCACGGTTTGTTCTGTTTCTCTGTAGAAATCACGCTGATCCACGGCGGCGTGAAGGTGTCGGCCATCATCCAGGGTCTGGTCCAAGGTGAGTCCTTTCCATGACCTCCTGCTTCATTCGAGGAACGGAGCTTTAGACCCGATGGTTCCAACTAATCCCAGAACCTGATGAGGTTCTACTGAAGGGAACCTGATGATGGGCTGGAGGTTTCCATGGTAACCACGCTCTGTCCCCGTCTGCAGGAGAAAGCGTCCAGACGGATCTGCTGGTGGACCCTCGCAGCAAAGCTCTGGTGCTGAACGGAAAACCGGGTCACCTCCAGTTCTACTCGCTCCAACGAGACAAACTTCTGTTCAACGTGAGACTCTGACCCCCCCCCCAATAGTCTGAGCTGCTGTCCACACGGAGCTCTGAAGGTCTCCTGTCCTCCCCAGCTGGACGTGGTGCAGCAGGAGTTCATCCACCAGTCGGGTCTGGCCCAGTTCCAGGTGGTCCGGGCAGCGATGGACGGTTCCGGCAGCTGGTTGGCCACCGTGGAGGAGAGGAAGCAGAAAGCTGCTCAGGTGGAGTTGAACCTGAAGCTGTGGGCGTTTGATGAGCAGACCCAGAGGTACGACTGGATCCTTCAGGCCCGGATGGGTCATCAGAACCTCCCTGCTAATGTCTGCTTCCCCCCTTTCCTCGCTGACGGACAGTTTTGTGCTGAACACGACCATCTGGGCCCCCCACGAGGCCGGGATTACCTCCATGTGCTTCGAGCAGGCGGGCGGCAGCGGGACCGCCCTGCTGGTGTCCAGCAGCAGAGACAGACACTACAAAGCCTGGCAGCTGGCGGCGCCGGCCCACACAGACGGTGAGAACCCACCATGTTTTCCAGGTCCTGGATCCTCTTCCCTTCTGCAGACGGAACCAGGAGGTTCTGACGGCTCCTCCGGTTCTGACCTTTCCTGGTGAACAGAACCGGAACCTCGTCACGTCAGACCGAAGGTTAATCCGTCTCTCCTGTCGTCTCCTGATTCCTCCCTGCAGACGGCGCCCCCTCCTGGTCTTGTGACTTCGTCGGCGCCTACCACGGCCTGGTTCCGGAACGCTGCTGCTTCTCTGCCGACGGCTCTCTGCTGGCCGTCAGCTTCCAGGAAGTGGTGACCGTCTGGAGCCCGACTTCCTGGGAACTCCTGGTGACGCTGTCGCAGCCGCCGGGCGCCATCAGGCAGGAAACGCACACACGCACTTTACTGTCTCTGTGAGGACGCTCAGTTACATCCTTTCTAGAACCTAGAACTGTGCACGCCTTCCTAGAGCTAGGACGCCCAGATCTGTCCACGCCTTCCTAGAGCTAGGACGCCCAGATCTGTCCACGCCTTCCTAGAGCTAGGACGCCCACATCTGTCCACGCCTTCCTAGAGCTAGGACGCCCAGATCTGTCCACGCCTTCCTAGAGCTAGGACGCCCACATCTGTCCACGCCTTCCTAGAGCTAGGACGCCCAGATCTGTCCACGCCTTCCTAGAGCTAGGACGCCCAGATCTGTCCACGCCTTCCTAGAGCTAGAACGCCCAGATCTGTCCACGCCTTCCTAGAGCTAGAACGCCCAGATCTGTGCACGCCTTCCTAGAGCTAGAACGCCCAGATCTGTCCACGCCTTCCTAGAGCTAGGACGCCCAGATCTGTCCACGCCTTCCTAGAGCTAGGACGCCCAGATCTGTCCACGCCTTCCTAGAGCTAGAACGCCCAGATCTGTCCACGCCTTCCTAGAGCTAGAACGCCCAGATCTGTCCACGCCTTCCTAGAGCTAGAACGCCCAGATCTGTCCACGCCTTCCTAGAGCTAGAACGCCCAGATCTGTCCACGCCTTCCTAGAGCTAGAACGCCCAGATCTGTCCACGCCTTCCTAGAGCTAGAAGGCCCAGATCTGTCCACGCCTTCCTAGAGCTAGGACGCCCAGATCTGTCCACGCCTTCCTAGAGCTAGAACGCCCAGATCTGTCCACGCCTTCCTAGAGCTAGAACGCCCAGATCTGTCCACGCCTTCCTAGAGCTAGAACGCCCAGATCTGTCCACGCCTTCCTAGAGCTAGAACGCCCAGATCTGTCCACGCCTTCCTAGAGCTAGAAGGCCCAGATCTGTCCACGCCTTCCTAGAGCTAGGACGCCCAGATCTGTCCACGCCTTCCTAGAGCTAGAACGCCCAGATCTGTGCACGCCTTCCTAGAGCTAGAACGCCCAGATCTGTCCACGCCTTCCTAGAGCTAGAACGCCCAGATCTGTCCACGCCTTCCTAGAGCTAGAAGGCCCAGATCTGTCCACGCCTTCCTAGAGCTAGAAGGCCCAGATCTGTCCACGCCTTCCTAGAGCTAGGACGCCCAGATCTGTCCACGCCTTCCTAGAGCTAGAACGCCCAGATCTGTCCACGCCTTCCTAGAGCTAGAACGCCCAGATCTGTCCACGCCTTCCTAGAGCTAGAACGCCCAGATCTGTCCACGCCTTCCTAGAGCTAGAAGGCCCAGATCTGTCCACGCCTTCCTAGAGCTAGAAGGCCCAGATCTGTCCACGCCTTCCTAGAGCTAGGACGCCCAGATCTGTCCACGCCTTCCTAGAGCTAGAACGCCCAGATCTGTCCACGCCTTCCTAGAGCTAGAACGCCCAGATCTGTCCACGCCTTCCTAGAGCTAGAAGGCCCAGATCTGTCCACGCCTTCCTAGAGCTAGAAGGCCCAGATCTGTCCACGCCTTCCTAGAGCTAGAACGCCCAGATCTGTGCACGCCTTCCTAGAGCTAGAACGCCCAGATCTGTCCACGCCTTCCTAGAGCTAGAAGGCCCAGATCTGTCTACGCCTTCCTAGAGCTAGAACGCCCAGATCTGTCCACGCCTTCCTAGAGCTAGAACGCCCAGATCTGTCCACGCCTTCCTAGAGCTAGAAGGCCCAGATCTGTCCACGCCTTCCTAGAGCTAGAACGCCCAGATCTGTGCACGCCTTCCTAGAGCTAGGACGCCCAGATCTGTCCACGCCTTCCTAGAGCTAGGACGCCCAGATCTGTCCACGCCTTCCTAGAGCTAGAAGGCCCAGATCTGTCTACGCCTTCCTAGAGCTAGGACGCCCAGATCTGTCTACGCCTTCCTAGAGCTAGGACGCCCAGATCTGTCCACGCCTTCCTAGAGCTAGAACGCCCAGATCTGTCCACGCCTTCCTAGAGCTAGAACGCCCAGATCTGTCCACACCTTCCTAGAGCTAGAACGCCCAGATCTGTCCACGCCTTCCTAGAGCTAGAACGCCCAGATCTGTCCACGCCTTCCTAGAGCTAGAACGCCCAGATCTGTCCACGCCTTCCTAGAGCTAGAACGCCCAGATCTGTCCACGCCTTCCTAGAGCTAGAACGCCCAGATCTGTCCACGCCTTCCTAGAGCTAGAAGGCCCAGATCTGTCCACGCCTTCCTAGAGCTAGGACGCCCAGATCTGTCCACGCCTTCCTAGAGCTAGGACGCCCAGATCTGTCCACGCCTTCCTAGAGCTAGAACGCCCAGATCTGTCCACGCCTTCCTAGAGCTAGAACGCCCAGATCTGTCCACGCCTTCCTAGAGCTAGAAGGCCCAGATCTGTCCACGCCTTCCTAGAGCTAGGACGCCCAGATCTGTCCACGCCTTCCTAGAGCTAGAACGCCCAGAGCTGTGCACGCCTTCCTAGAGCTAGAACGCCCAGATCTGTGCACGCCTTCCTAGAGCTAGAACGCCCAGATCTGTGCACGCCTTCCTAGAGCTAGAACGCCCAGATCTGTCCACGCCTTCCTAGAGCTAGAAGGCCCAGATCTGTCCACGCCTTCCTAGAGCTAGAAGGCCCAGATCTGTCCACGCCTTCCTAGAGCTAGAACGCCCAGATCTGTCCACGCCTTCCTAGAGCTAGGACGCCCAGATCTGTCCACGCCTTCCTAGAGCTAGGACGCCCAGATCTGTCCACGCCTTCCTAGAGCTAGAACGCCCAGATCTGTCCACGCCTTCCTAGAGCTAGAAGGCCCAGATCTGTCCACGCCTTCCTAGAGCTAGAAGGCCCAGATCTGTCCACGCCTTCCTAGAGCTAGAACGCCCAGATCTGTCCACGCCTTCCTAGAGCTAGAACGCCCAGATCTGTCCACGCCTTCCTAGAGCTAGAAGGCCCAGATCTGTCCACGCCTTCCTAGAGCTAGAAGGCCCAGATCTGTCCACGCCTTCCTAGAGCTAGAAGGCCCAGATCTGTCCACGCCTTCCTAGAGCTAGAACGCCCAGATCTGTCCACGCCTTCCTAGAGCTAGAAGGCCCAGATCTGTCCACGCCTTCCTAGAGCTAGAACGCCCAGATCTGTCCACGCCTTCCTAGAGCTAGAACGCCCAGATCTGTCCACGCCTTCCTAGAGCTAGAACGCCCAGATCTGTCCACGCCTTCCTAGAGCTAGAAGGCCCAGATCTGTCCACGCCTTCCTAGAGCTAGAACGCCCAGATCTGTCCACGCCTTCCTAGAGCTAGAAGGCCCAGATCTGTCCACGCCTTCCTAGAGCTAGAACGCCCAGATCTGTCCACGCCTTCCTAGAGCTAGAAGGCCCAGATCTGTCCACGCCTTCCTAGAGCTAGGACGCCCAGATCTGTCCACGCCTTCCTAGAGCTAGAACGCCCAGATCTGTCCACGCCTTCCTAGAGCTAGAACGCCCAGATCTGTCCACGCCTTCCTAGAGCTAGAACGCCCAGATCTGTCCACGCCTTCCTAGAGCTAGAACGCCCAGATCTGTCCACGCCTTCCTAGAGCTAGAAGGCCCAGATCTGTCCACGCCTTCCTAGAGCTAGAACGCCCAGATCTGTCCACGCCTTCCTAGAGCTAGAACGCCCAGATCTGTCCACGCCTTCCTAGAGCTAGAAGGCCCAGATCTGTCCACGCCTTCCTAGAGCTAGAACGCCCAGATCTGTGCACGCCTTCCTAGAGCTGCTGGGACGTGGAGCCCCGGGTCGTCCTCGGGCCAGTATTGTAGATGAAGTTGGTTCTGGTGAGGTTCTGAAGATGTGGGTCGGCCCGTTTATAGATGGTTCTGATGGAGCAGAAATGGACTTGCAGCATCTGCTGCAGAGGAACATCTATAGAGTTCTGTTCTGGATTTCAGAGAAGAAAATAGAACCAGTGATAAACTGGTTTGATTCTGGACAGAACCAGGATTAACTAAGCCTGGCTGCTAGCAGAGGTCCATCACCATGGCAACCCCTGTCCTCAGATTGCTTGGTTTTCCAACCTTCGTCGGGGTTAGGCTGTGGGGTTGAGTTCTGATGAAAAAGTTGTGATTCTCTGCTAGAAGGCGACCCGGTAGAACCCGCCTAGGGATGTTGCTTCCTAAGCAGCTGAGCGATGATGTCATCCAGAGCGTTCTGGGCGGTTGATCACTAATGGTTGTTTGTTTCCTCTGCAGGGATCTCTGCTTTGGACGTCTGAGCTGCTCAAAGTATCTCCTGGCAACAACCAGAACCCAACGGCTCTGCTGCTGGAACCTGCTCACCTGCTCCTGTAAGTGTTTCCTGCAGCAGAACCTCTGAGGTCCGGCGATGTGGTCCAGATGAGGACCAGAAGAAGGTCATTTCTCTCTGGACCCTAAGGTTCTGGTTCCATGATCCTCATCAGTTTTTGTTTGTAATGAAGTCAAGGTCCGGTCTGGACTTCAGCTGGTCCACCGATCAGAACTGGACCTCCACTTTGGTCCGAAAGAACCTGGATCCTAGATGTTCTCAGAGCCCAAAGCGGTTCTGGCTGCTTCAGATCCACACAGGAGCAACGGTCTTCTTCAGGTCAGAACTAATCCAGTTTCTGGTTTGTGTCCCACAGTGGAGTGGACCACGCCGATGGACGCCGATCTGCTGCTGGCCGACCCGCTATCGGAGAACATGGCCGCCTTCTGTCACCGGGATGGATCCACTGACTGTACGTCTGAATGCTAGGCCTCAGTTAGACGTTAGGAATGCTAACGCCGCTAAACGGCGCTGATGTAGCTAAACAGAGCTAACGTCAGTCAACCGCGCTAGATGTTGTCAAATACTCATAAATGCTGCATTTAGCAGTAAATCCCTGTATTTATCAGTACTTTATGGTATTTAGCAGTGTTTGTAGTATTTCTAGGCAATGGCGGCCCTAAGAAGCAGCAGCAGAGATTCAGACCCTGAATTCTCGTCTCCTTTCCTCTTCTTCCAGTGTTCGTCTTCAGGCCCAGCGAGCCGCGGCCGCTGTTCTCCCAGAAGGCAGTGTGCTCGGGGCGAGTGAACCACGCTGTCTTTGCGCCGAGGGAGACGATGCTGGAGAGCTGTGAGGAGAGCAGCCAGTGGCTGAACCGCTCCAGGCTGTACTTCCTCAGCCCGCTGATGGTAAACATGGCAGACTGGACGGGGGGGGGGGGGGTTCCTCATGGAGGTTAAAGACGTTAAAGTTGTTGGTTCTCCTCTAGGACCTCCTGACCTTCACCACCAGAGCTGAGGAGGAGCGTCTGATGGCTTCCAGCAAACAGGTGAGCTTTAGCAGAAGGTCGGGCTGGAGATGGATCAGCTGAGGAGGAAGGAGGTCTGGAGAACTTTGGTTCTGTCATCTCTGGAGGAAACCTCTGATGGAGATGCTGGTCCAGAGGAAACCTCTGATGGAGATGCTGGTCCAGAGGAAACCTCTGATGGAGATGCTGGTCCAGAGGAAACCTCTGATGGAGATGCTGGTCCATTGATCAGATCGTTGGACCAGCAGAGGACTGTGAGGAACGAGGATGGACATCTGGACGGAGATGCTCCTCCTGTTAAACTCTGAATGCTGATTCGTCGGTTTGACCTGTTTATCTGCTCTTTCATCTCCATCCAGCTGGTGGTCGACGACAGTGTTGCCATGACGCCATTTTACCTGCGGCTGGGCAAACATGGACGCCAGCAGCAAGAGACGGAGGCGCGGGCGGTGAGAGGCGCTCTGCCTCAGGGTTCAGCGGCCATCAGAGAGGTCGGTATCCTGCGCCTGGATTCAGCCACGGAGGTAAACGGGTCACTAACCTGCCTGCTTGTTGTTGCAGCTCCTGCAGAGCCCCGCCCACGTCCTCCCCGCCGCGTCCTTCCTCTGCTCCATGTTCGTTCAGTCTCTGCTCATCTCCGTCAACGAGCGCAGGTCAGTCCCACTCACACTCCCACTCTGTTCTACTGAAGTTCTGACCAAGGTGTCTTTGGACCTGGGCTGATGATCCGCTGAGTGCAGCTGGTTGGTTCTACAGGAACCTTTAGTGATCTGAACCAGAACCTCCAGGTCCCCCTTCTCCAAGCAGGCTGTTACTCTGGCTGCACAACTGAGAAGAACTTGATAGCAAACCTGCAGAGTCATGCTAACCTTCTGTCAACCTGCAGAGTCATGCTAACCTTCTGTCAACCTGCAGAGTCATGCTAACCTTCTGTAAACCTGCAGAGTCATGCTAACCTTCAGTCAACCTGCAGTCATGCTAACCTGCAGAGTCATGCTAACCTTCTGTAAACCTGCAGAGTCATGCTAACCTTCTGTAAACCTGCAGAGTCATGCTAACCTTCTGTCAACCTGCAGAGTCATGTTAACCTTCAGTCAACCTGCAGAGTCATGCTAACCTTCAGTCAACCTGCAGAGTCATGCTAACCTTCAGTCAACCTGCAGAGTCATGCTACCTTCAGTCAACCTGCAGAGTCGTGCTAACCTTCAGTCAACCTGCAGAGTCATGCTAACCTTCAGTCAACCTGCAGTCATGCTACCTTCAGTCAACCTGCAGAGTCATGCTAACCTTCTGTCAACCTGCAGAGTCATGCTAACCTTCTGTCAACCTGCAGAGTCATGCTAACCTTCTGTAAACCTGCAGAGTCATGCTAACCTTCAGTCAACCTGCAGTCATGCTAACCTGCAGAGTCATGCTAACCTTCTGTAAACCTGCAGAGTCATGCTAACCTTCTGTAAACCTGCAGAGTCATGCTAACCTTCTGTCAACCTGCAGAGTCATGTTAACCTTCAGTCAACCTGCAGAGTCATGCTAACCTTCAGTCAACCTGCAGAGTCATGCTAACCTTCAGTCAACCTGCAGAGTCATGCTACCTTCAGTCAACCTGCAGAGTCGTGCAAACCTTCAGTCAACCTGCAGAGTCATGCTAACCTTCAGTCAACCTGCAGAGTCATGCTAACCTTCAGTCAACCTGCAGTCATGCTACCTTCAGTCAACCTGCAGAGTCATGCTAACCTTCAGTCAACCTGCAGAGTCATGTTAACCTTCAGTCAACCTGCAGAGTCATGCTAACCTTCAGTCAACCTGCAGAGTCATGCTAACCTTCAGTCAACCTGCAGAGTCATGTTAACCTTCTGTAAACCTGCAGAGTCATGTTAACCTTCTGTAAACCTGCAGAGTCATGCTAACCTTCTGTCAACCTGCGGAACCTTCTGTAAACCTGCAGAGTCATGCAAACCTTCTGTAAACCTGTGGAGTCATACTAACCTTCTGTAAACCTGCAGAGTCATGCTAACCTTCTCCTGGTGTGTCTTTAGGGAGGAAACCAAACCTGCTAAGGAGGAACTGGAGAGTGAGAAAGAAGAAGAAGAAAGTTCTGATGAGGAAACGGGATCCAGAGTCACACGACCAGAGGAGGGAACGTCAGGCGGGCCTGAGGTGGAGGGTCTTGGCCCGGTCTTGACCAAAGCCAAGCTTAGGGAACTGAGGAGGGTGAGGAAACTGGACCATAGCTGGGTCAGGGACCTGCTGGACTCCTGAGACTAAAAGCGGTCCTGGTACTCCAAAGAACTGGACAGTTGCTGGGTTTTTATTAAGGAGGGAAATTGCTAATTGGATTAGTATTTGCAGCAGAACCAGGTCGGTTTGGTTCTGATCCGTTTCAGACCTTATTTTTGCAGTTATTCATGTTCCTCCTTGCTTCATTGGACCGGAAGCATAAGTCCTGTTTTATTCCTGATGTAACTAATAAAATGAAAGATAAGCCAAACTGTACATTACTTTTAATTCTATTCAGTTTATTTCTATAGCTCCAAGTCCCATCATGTCATTTCAGGTCACTTTATAGATCCAGATCAACCAGATCATCCAGTCAGATTGATTCAAAGTTTTCTATCTAAGGAAAACCAGCTGATTGCATCGACTCATTGACTCTTCAGCAATCCCTCACACTAAGCATGCTTGTAGCGACAGTGGAGAGGAAAAACTCCCTTTAAACAGGAAGAAACCTCCAGCAGAACCAGGCTCAGTGTGAGCGGCCATCTGCTGAGGCCCACTGGGGTTCAAGGAGACAGAAGCAGACATAGAAAAAGAAGCATAGATACAAAAGGCAACCAGCTCCACAGGCGGCCCCGTCCAGGAAACACACAGCCAGGCAGACGAGCTCCGAGCCAGCTCCCATGTCAGAGGATGAAGAGAGCACATCCAGTTAGTCACAGTCAGAGAAACAGGACTACACTGGAAAACAGGCCAAGCTCCAACATCTAGAAACAAAGGTGTTGATGGCAGCAGCACAGCTGATATTTCTCTCCAGGATGGAGTCACAGCCAAACAGGAACAGACCAGATGAAGCTACTATGAGAAAAAGCAGAGAGAGCAGAACGTTAGAGATTGAACTAATAGATTCTGCAGAGTGGGAGAATAGAGATAGAATGAAGCAGAATGATGAAAAAGGGGTCCCTATGTCCTCCAGCAGTCTAAGCCTATAGCAGCAGAACTATAGAGATAGCTCAGGATAACCTGAGCCACTCTAACTAGAAGCTTTATCAAAAAGGAAAGTTTTAAGCCTAGCCTTAAAAGTAGACAGGGTGTCTGCCTCACGGACTAAAACTGGTAGTTGGTTCCACAGGAGAGGAGCCTGATAACTAAAAGATCTGCCTACCATTCTACTTTTAGAAATTCTAGGAACCACTAGTAAACCTAACCCTGCTTCTGGCTGATCTCCCATTGGCGGGCGAATCACTGACCCCGCCCCTTTCCTCAGCATCAAATCTTTGCTCTACACATAAGTTTTGGACTTCAGATGTTTGTTCGTTTTTTTTTTTAAAGGTTTGTAGAACAAAATAAAAATGTTCAAAAGTTTTTATTCGTTTAGGAAAATAAACATTTGGGTTAGGGTCAGTCTTTGGGGTCGTCTGGTGCTGTTTGAAGCTTTTTCTGTAGATTTATTTATTTAGGTTTTTTCCAAAGCAGAGAAAGATTGAAAATACTGAGACAACTTTCATTGCCATTTTGTTTAGCACTAGAGTGCTGCAGCACCACCTAGTGGCGAGATGGAGATATTTTTAAAATGTTTTTAAAAATGTTTTGTACAGTTTATAAATTTATTTTGAAAATTGGGAATTTTTTTATTTCTGGTAGTAAGGAGTAGCTAGCCTAGGCTAGCGCTAGCTTAGCATTGCTATGGCTTCTCTCTCTCCCTCCCTTGACTCTTTTCCAACTCTTCCTTCTTCCTCCTCTCTGCTGCTCTCTGTGTCAGATGTTCAGTTATTCCTCTGCCTCCTTTAGTGATAATGGGATGTGTAATAAGTGTAGTATTTTTGTAGCTTTGGAGGCGAGGGTGTCAGAGTTAGAATCCAGGCTTCAGGCTGTTGAACATCCAGGAGTTAAAGTAGGCCCCCCACGTAGCTGTCCTCCAGCAGTGCCTGAGCAGCCAGGCGATTGGGTAACTCTACGCAGAAAGCGTAGTCGTGGATCTCTGCCCACTGGTCACGCTTAACCCCAGACTGCTCCCTGGGCGCCGCACAATGGCAGCCCACTGCTCCCTGGGCGCCGCACACTGGCAGCCCACTGCTCCCTGATGGGATGGGTTAAATGCAGAGAGGGAATTTCGTTGCTCTGTACCTGAGACAGTGGAATGACAAAGTTCTAGTTCTAGACGGCATCCATCCCACTTTGGATGGTGCAGCTCTTCTTTCTAGGAATCTGGCCACATTTATTAGTCCTCCAAAACCCTGACCCCCCAGGGTGCAGACCAGGAAGCAGAGTCCTAGTTTAACAGACCTCTCTGCAGCTTCTCTACTGTTACCCACTCTTTACTCCATCCAGACGGTGTCTTGCCCACGACCAAAATCTAAAGATAAACTCCTTCAAGCTATTCAAATTTTCACATCCCCAGAAGTTCTGGCTGAGGAGGAGGAGGAGGAGCAGCAATCTTCCAGTCTGACTGACTGATTACTCCAAAGGCCGTTAACAATTACAACTCTGAACATTTAACCCTTAATTTCCCTCATCCAAATTGCAAAGCCTGAAAACCTCTTTTTGTAGCTTTCTATCGTCCACCAGGTCGTTACTCTGAACTCCTCTCTGATTTGGTGTTGAACACCGACAGGTTCTGTCTGATGGACCACGGTGAGGTCAGACCTCCTAACCTTCAGACTGAGGATCTCTGACTCCGGAGGTTTTTCCTTCCTGGTCTTGTTCAAAATAACCAAATCCTTCATGGTGGTTTGGTTCGGATCCAGCAGGCTTAAGAAACACTTAACCTGCAGCCGGCGGTTAAACCTGCTCACCCCGCCGCTTCTTATCAGGATGTTTATGGTTTTCATGTGATTTTAAAGCTGCTCCGCTGGCGGAGGACGTCACTGAGCTCATAAACTCAGAAAAATGAGAATTTGTTGAGAAACGTCGTCTATATTTATGACCATTGGGTTGTTTGGTGTTTTTCCTTCCATCATTTATTCCTTCATCCAACTAAGGACCAATAAATGGGATTAGAACTCAATCTGATTGCTCATCCTTGGGGTTACAGATGGAGAAGATGCTGGAGAATGGACCAGATCTACCACCTCCTTCAGTATATTTCTATGCTCCCATTCACATCAAGTCATCTCAGGTCCCTTTATAGATCCAGATCAATCAGATCGAGTCAGGTTCAAAGTTTTCTGTCCAAGCCAAACCCTTGATCCTCCTGGATTATCAGGTAGAAACAGATATTGACTCTTCAGCAATCCCTCACACTAAGCAAGCTTATAGCGACAGTGGAGAGGAAAAACTCCCCTTGAACAGGAAGAAACCTCCAGCAGAACCAGGCTCAGTGTGAGCGGCCATCTGCTGAGGCCCACTGGGGTTCAAGGAGACAGAAGCAGACATAGAAAAAGAAGCATAGAAGCACCGATCTATAAACACTTTCTACATTAGAAAAGCTAACAGTAAACTAGGTCCGCAGGCGGCTCTGCCAGGGAAAGAAATAATTAATCAGATGAACTCTGATCCAGTTTTCATGTTATGAAAGAGAGAAGATCCCGTTGAGCTGAGCCCACAGCTATAGGAGAGAAACAGGACTAAACACTGGAAAACACTCTAAGCTCCAACATCTACAGGTGCTGGTCATAAAATTAGAATATCATGAAAAAGTAGATTGATTTCAGTAATTCCATTTAAAAAGTGAAACTTGTATATTATATTCATACATTACATACAAACTCATATATTTCAGATGTTTATTTTGTTTAATTTTGATGATTACAAATGACAACAAATGAAAATCTCGAATTCATCATATCAGAAAATTAGAATATTGTGAAAAGGTTCAAAATTGATGGCCCCTGGTGCCACACTCTAATCAGCTAATTAACTCAAACCACCTGCAAAAGCCTTTAAATGGTCTTTCAGTCTAGTTCTATAGGCTACACAATCATGGGGAAGACTGCTGACTTGACAGTTGTCCAAAAGACGACCATCGACACCTTGCACAAGGAGGGCAAGACACAAAAGGTCATCGCTAAAGAGGCTGGCTGTTCACAGAGCTCAGTGTCCAAGCACATTAATAGAGAGGCGAAGGGAAGGAAAAGATTCAATTCAATTCAGTTTATTTATATAGCGCCAAATTCACAACACATGTCATCTCAAGGCACTTTACAGTTCAACCAGATCATACAGTCAAATTGATACAAAGTTTTCTATCTAAGGAAAACCAGTTGATTGCATTGACTCATTGACTCAAATACAATCCCCCACACTAAGCATGCTTGTAGCGACAGTGGAGAGGAAAAACTCCCTTTTAACAGGAAGAAACCTCCAGCAGAACCAGGCTCAGTGTGAGCGGCCATCTGCCGAGGCCCACTGGGGTTCAAGGAGACAGAAGCAGACATAGAAAAAGCAGCTGTAAAAGGCGGCCCCGTCCAGGAAACACACAGCCAGGCAGACGAGCTCCAAGGCAGCTCCCATGCCAGAGGACGAAGAGAGCACATCCACTCAGTCACGGTCAGAGAAACAGGACCACACTGGAAAACAGGCCGATCTCCAACATCTATTAACAAGGGTGTTGATAGAAGCAGCACAGCTGATGTTTTTTTTCCAGGATGACGTCACAGCCAAACAGGAACAGACGAGGCAAAGCTACTCTGAGGAAAAGCAGAGAGAGCAGAAGGTTAGAGATTGAACTAACAGATTCTGCAGAATAGGAGAACAGAGAGAGAATGAAGCAGAATGATGAAATGGGGGTCCCTATGTCCTCCAAAAGTCTAAGCCTATAGCAGCATAACTATAGAGATAGCTCAGGATAACCTGAGCCACCCTAACTATAAGCTTTATCAAAAATGAAAGTTTTAAGCCTAGCCTTAAAAGTAGACAGGGTGTCTGCCTCACGGACTAAAACTGGTAGTTGGTTCCACAGGAGAGGAGCCTGATAACTAAAAGATCTGCCTCCCATTCTACTTTTAGAAATTCTAGGAACCACTAGTAAACCTGCAGATTGAGAGCGAAGTGCTCTGTTAGGAACATAAGGAACAATCAGATCTCTGATATCAGATGGAGCTTGGCCATTTAAGGCTTTATATGTGAGAAGGAGGATTTTAAATTCTATTCTTGATTTAACAGGAAGCCAATGAAGAGAAGCCAGGATAGGAGAGATATGATCTCTCTTTTTCATTTTCATTAGAACTCTGGCTGCAGCATTTTGGATCAGCTGAAGGCTTTTAACTACAGTTTGTGGACTTCCTGATAGTAAAGAATTACAATAGTCCAGCCTTGAAGTAACAAATGCATGGACTAGT